AGAGCCCGGTGCGAAACCCGTCTCACATTCACCATAATGCATCAGCCCAACTGAGCTAGCAAACATGAAGAAACGTTGAGTACCTGTTGGACCAGAAACTGATCCGACCACCCTTCAGTGTCCTCTCTCGTTTTGTTGGCCTTGGTTGCCACACTAACGTGCACTGGGCGGTTGCCAAGCACGTTCTCCGCTATCTCCGCGCTACCTCTGATCTTGCACTCGCTCTTGGTGGCTCTTCCCCCCCCCCCCCCATTCTTTCCGGTTACCATGATTCCTCCTACGCTAATTCTTGCCGTGATCGCCGCTCCTCTCAGGGTTATGGTTTTACTCTTGGCAGTAGTCTCATCAGCTCGCGATCCACTCGCTCATCCTCTGTTTGCCTTTCTACCTGCAAGGCTGAGTTGTACGCAGGCACATTGGCAGCTTAGGAGGCTGACTGGCTCTCCTTTCTTCTTGCTGAGCTTGGTCACTCTCAACCCTCTTTGACGCTCTCTTGTGACAGTGCGAGCATGATTCAACTCTAGGAGTGATCGAAGCTTTGCTTGGTTCTTTAGTGCCTACACAATCACGGGGGAATTTTGCAAGAGTTTATTAGCAAAGTTGGGAATACATAACGATAGCAATTGCAATGACAAGAATGAATACATCAGGCATCTACCAACTGTGCAGCTAGCCTGGTCAACCCCCAGCACAGCATGGTCGACCACCTGCCAGCGTTGTGTAGAGGAGCCACGCCAGCACTGCAGAAGCGCGGCCTGCAAAAACAGCAGATCGACGGAGTGCCAACACTGCAGTAGAGCGGCTGTCCAGCGTTGCACCTGTAAAAGACAGCAGTGCGCATGATCGCAGGTGTGCGCAGACAATTGGCTCGACTTGCAACGTTGTGTATCTGTCGGCTGTGGTCTGCGCCTAATGACCCAAATCAACTTCGGAATACCAACCCAAAGTCGCCTTAGCTATCGCGAACTCGACGACGTTCGCGTGCCTCCGCAGAATTCGCCGAGCAGATTACCTAGTTGACATGGTCGACCACCCAGTGAGCGCCTTGGTTGACAAACCCTTCGTCGACCACTGCGCCCGTCGAACTGCCCTTCCTGGTCGATGGCCCATCCGTTGACCAACTCGGTTAGCTGCAGCCGTCGACCTCCAGCTCCGCGACTGACCTGTGCAGATCGGCGTCCACCTCGTCGATCTGCCAAGCAGAAGTAGGCCGTAGACTCCCCGTCGACGCCAATACCGCAGCGCTCCCCTGCAGCTCGATGAAGCACGTCGAGTAGCTCCCTCACTACGTACAGTCGGCTGCTACCCTCGTACACCCGACTAGGACGTCGGCGTCGCCCAAGCGAGGGCGGGGCCGACACTTCATTCCCGTCAACAGTCGCCTTGTTTGTCGCGACCAGGTTGGATTGCGTTTGAGTGGTCAGATTTTGTCTGTCCACCAGATCCTCCGGCCATCATTACTCGTGAGTGTATGCCGGGCGCCACCTTAGCTCGCCGAAGATTTCGGGGGTGGGAAAGCAAAGGATTCTTGAGTCGCTTTCATACCATGTTGCGATCAGAGAAATGATCGTGCCTATGATCACCTCAGGAAAGTTCAAAGAATCGTAGTATTTGTTACGATACAAAACCTTATGAGAAGGCATTCCTGTATGCTGCCGGAGCTGACTCTAGCGAGTACGAAGTCGAGGCGTCAAGAGAGTCGAAGCGACACCAGCAACCGTCGGACCAAGACCGATGCAGGTAGTTAACACTTGAAAGGAAAAGAGCGGGAACATGTTTGAAACTGATTCCCGCGCCGTACGGTTTGAATTTCGCTGCAATAAGGGAATGTGCCCCTTAGGGTACATGGCTAGTCTAGGTTGTTTCGCATTCCTTTGTATTTCCTATATAAACGTGATGTATGCATGCTATTATCAATCTCAGTCATTACATTCACTCTGACCTAAGCTCAATACTCCCGCTGCAACACTCCCTGCGATCAACCCTGAGCGATCCTTCGCTAAGTCCCAATTGGGATTGTAACATGGGATGAGAGCTACTCAGGGATTCCTGGTAACCTCACTTCCGTGAAAATTGCCGAACCTAGATCTGGCAAGTGGCACACGCTCCAAGTGTCATATGCACGTCAGTATGAGTGCATGTCATCCTAACGTCCTGCTGCGTGCTCGTGCAATTCAAGGTTCAAGACTACCGCCGCTTTTGACGGCAAAGACTTCTACAAATGGAGTTTGGAGCTTGAGCTCCTCCTACAGACAACGCGGATCTACCACTATTTTGATGGCTCCTTTCCTAAACTGGTGGAAGACACCAAAGACGTCTGGGCTCAATACTACAGCGAGTCCCTCATGGCGTACAACATACTTCTACGCAACATGACGCCTGCGGAGAAACTCGGCATCCGCTCCTACAACGAGAGCGCCGCTCTAGCCCTGGAAGCTTGGAAGCACCTTGTTGGGGTATATTAGCTGAAGGACTCAGTCACCTCCAGCAGGCTCATGCAACAACTCATGGAGACCAAGATGGGGCATAAGGAGAAAGCAAAGAGTTACATTAACCGCTGTCGAAATATCCGTGACTAGATCACGAAGAAGGGAAGCACCACTTCGGAGGAGATTTTCGTCAACATCATCCTCTAAGGACTCGGGCCTGAGTGGAAGCCATGTAAAGCATTACTCCGACAACGAGGAACCATCTCAGAAGCCGCGCTATGCGCCGCACTCCTGACTGAACAGCAGGACATGGACTCGAGTAGGACAAGCTCCGCGCCGCGCCGAGAGCACCTCGCCTTCTACTCGGACAATCGTGAAGAGCGACGATAACCTAGGCGCCCATTATTGCAAAATCTGCAAAGTCTTCAGACACTTAACAAATCGATGCAAATCCCGATCCAACTATCGTCACCCAAATTCCACTCACCATACAAACTGGTTTGGCCAACAAGATATTCGTCACACTCAACATCAGCATGAACACCAAGCTCCTTGCCCCTCTGCATAGCAACAACAACAACAACAACAACAACAGACACAAGGACCTCAATCAGGAGCTCCCGGAAACGTGATCGCGAACATGGCGACAAGGCGTCGTCCATGCGCCGCTGAACCAGACGAAGTGGAAGAACCTCACGGCAAACTCATTCAACCTGAAGCAGGGTGGAACAACCCCTTTACGGAAGACCACTATTATCTGTACGACGAAGAAGAGGAAGATTGGCATCTGCCAATACAGGTGCGGGAAAGCTCGCCCCATGACAATCAGCAGTACGTACCTGTGGGATGGAAGGAGGATGAAGACCGTGGCTTTCACAGACAATACAAGGCGACTCTGGTGACTCCACGGCTCACACTGCTCCTGCGGAATAACAACGATAATTACAACACCTGGTACCTGGATAGCTGCTGTGGACAACACATGGTCGGATCTACCCGATACATCTCTAGCGTAAATCGCGCTCTTGCCACCTATGTCACCGTCGCCAATAATGAGCAACTGCGCGCCAACGCACAAGGCATTGTGGTACTACAAGCACGAGACAGCAACACGCACATCTCATTCAACGACGTACTCTACATCCCAAATCTCCGGTTCAACCTCCTGTCGGCAGGGCAACTCAGAGACTGCGGAGTCATGCTTGCCATAGTCCCATACACGCGTCACCTCATCCTCACCTACGCTCCCCTAGACACACCTCCCAAGTCGCACAAGTACCTCAGAAGAGCACAATCGATGGATGGTGTCTACGTTCCGGATTTTGACATACCAAGCTGCCAAGCTTCATTGGACGAACTCGTTGACCTCGTCCCGCTGGACTTCCCGTTCATGAACAAGGAGTCCTGGGAGCACCCGAACGGACGGCCATGGATCCGCTGAAGTCCTCACCCTCGTGAGATAAATCTGCACCAAGTAGGCCCTGACGGAATCGGCACCACCTGCTACACACCCACAGCAAGCCACATAGAAGAAGTGGAGCGAGACCTTGCAGCAATTCAGGAAGCAGAGAGCGCTGACCGCATCTTCGGCAAAGAAAACGAGCACCTTGGACAGTAGCAGGAGAAACGCCCAACACCTCGCTCCGAAACACTTCGTTTCATCTTGGAAGCAAACATCACCACCTACGACGAGGAAAATCGCCTGCAACCATACACCCCCAATCTCTACCGCACCATCATCGACAAGAAATGGAAGGATCAAGATGCACCTGAAGAGCTGAGCGTTCATGGGGAAGAAGAGAAAGCAAGGGCAGAGGAGAGAGCAAAGCTGTACGAGGAAGGCATCGCAGCCGGATGGGACGAAGAGTCCGCACGGCGCGGTGCTTGGTGAGACGGCGACGACGATATTGGCGACACAGCAGGAGGAACATGGGGCTCCGCAACGGGCGCGTGGGGAGCTGGCGAATGGGGCTCCCCTCAAAGACAGGACATCGCTGAAGGTGACCTCACCCGAAAAGAACTGGAAGCAGTCGAGGCAGAGATGGCAGCCGAGCACCCATCACCACGAGTTGCCGTCCCCCTCGGACGGCCACCCCGCAACCAACCATCACCCCTTCGCTCACCTTATCGTTGGACGAGCACCTGGGCGGAAATTGAGGAGGGGAACGTGCCACCTACTCCTCCCCGCGACTCACTAGGACCAATCTCTTGCCCAGATCCATTCGCTCGCCTCATCGAAGGCACCAGGACTCCACTAAACATCATCACCGACAGCAAATTCCTTGCGCTCTAACTCTCAACGGCACCTGCAGAAGGGGATTCAGCAGCAGAACCAGAGGGAGAGGAGCAGGACAACGAAACAGAACAAGGATAAGAAGAAGGACCCGTGCTCCTAATCCCACATGAAGCAGAAGCAAAAGCAGTGACACATCACTCATGTGTCAGAACATTATAGCTTATACATTTGTGTAGGCTGTAGTGGGGTAGCCCATAAGGGGTACAACCCAATTAGGGTTAGTACTTGTACCCAACTCTTTCATAGTTCAATCATTCTCTCGTTCTCATCTTCACATGGTATAGAGCTGGTTCCCTCGTGGGAACTGTTCCTAGGGCCCACCGACTTTTTTTTCCTGCCCGGAACACGCTTGGCCCCTGCCCGAGTCGCGCCCCGTGCCGTCCCCTCTCTAGCGGCCTCTAGCGGCCCCTTCTACGGCCCCTAACGGCCCCGTCGCGCCGCCCTTTTGGCCCCGTCGCGCCGCCCTTGCGGCCCCGTCGCGCCGCCCATTCGGCCCCGTCGCGCCGCCCATTCGGCCCCGTCGCGCTGCCCTTGCGGCCCCTTCGCGCCGCCCTTTACGCGGCCCCGTCACCGCCCCTTCCTGCAGCCCTGTCGCTGCCCTTTCAGCGGCCCCGTCGCTGCACATCCACGGCCCCGTCGCCGCCCTTTCACGGCCTCGCCGCCCGCCCTTACAGCGGCCCCGTCGCCCGCCCTTACGCGGCCCCGACACCGCCCTTCCGCGGCCCCATCGCCGCCCTCCAGCGGCCCCGTCACCGCCCTTCAGCGGCCCCGTCGCCGCCCTTTCAGCGGCCCCGTCGCCGCCCGCCCTTTCAGCGGCCCCGTCGCCGCCCTTCCACGGCATCGCCGCCCGCCCTTACAGCGGCCCCGTCGCCCGCCCTTCCGCGGCCTCGCCACCCGCCCTTACAGCGGCCCCATCGCCCGCCCTTCCGCGGCCCCGACGCCGCCCTTCAGCGGCCCCGTCGCCGCCCTTGTTAGCGGCCCCGTCGCCGCCCTTTCAGCGGCCCCGTCGCCGCCCGCCCTTCCAGCGGCCCATCGCCGCCCATTCAGCGGCCCATCGCTGCCCTTCAAGCGGCCCCGTCGCCGCCCTTCCACGGCCCCGTCGCCGCTCAGCCGCCCAGCGCCCGAGCCGCCGAGCAGCCGAACCGCCGAGCAGCCGAGCCGCCCGACCACCGAGCCGCCCAGCAGCCGAGCCGCCCGACCACCGAGCTGCCCAGCCGCCGAGCCGCCGAGCCGCCCGACCGCCCCACTTGTCTGGTAAGAGCAGCGTCTCTGCCACTGCACTGCCCTGCCCCACTGTACTCACTGCCTGCCTACTGCTGTCATGGCCTCCCCTAGTGTTCTCACCTTTGACGCTAAGGGTCGGGCTGTTGACTTTGAGGTCTGAGTAGATGATCTGCAGCTTTTCCTACAGTGCGTTAGGGCAGACAGTCTCTCCCTGTTTGACCTCACTTCTGGTGCCTCTCCTGCCCTTGCTGCTGATGCTGACGCCACTGTTCGCTCACAGTGGGCCACGCGGGATGCTGCTGCTCGCCTTGCTGTGCGCCGCCACTTACCGACCACTTAGCGTGCACACTTTAGCCAGTACAAGAGTGCTCAGACCTTGTACGACGCTGTAGTTGCGCGCTACTCTTCCCCTGCCACTGCTGCACTGAGCCGCCTCATGCTACCGTACCTCTTCCCTGACCTTGTTGCCTTTCCCACAGTTGCTGACCTCATTCCGCACCTACGCACTAGTGACACTCACTACCGCGCTGCGCTTCCTGCTGAGTTCTGCGCCAAGAACCCCCCCCTCCATGTACATCACCCTCTACTACATAGTCACCCGCCTCCCTAACTCTCTCCTAGTAGTCAGGGACCACTTCCTCTCAGTTTGCCCCACCACTCTCATCGTTGACCTCCTTGAGAAGGCCCTCCTAGCGATAGAGAAGAGCATAGTCGCTGTAGGAGCCTCTCGTGGTGACCCTCGCACCCCCGTCTTTGAGGGGTGTTCTCCCTCCCCCCTCTTGCCCTCTATTGCCTCTGCTGCTGCGGCCGACCTCGTTGGTTTCGAGTCGGTCGGCGCTGCGTCTGCCCCGAGCGGGAGACGCCACACCAACAAGGGCAAGGGGGGCAAGGGCGCTGGAGGGGCTGGAGGGGGCGGTGGAGGTGGTGGTGGAGGCAGTGGAGGGAGTGGGGGTGGTGGTGGGAGTGGTGCTGGGGGTGGCGGCGGCGGCGGCAGCAGTGGAGGCGGCGGAGGCGGTGGTGGTGGCGGAGGGAGCGGAGGCGGCGGAGGGAGCGGAGGCGGCAGAGGGAGCAGAGGCGGCGGAGGTAGCGGAGGAGGCGGAGGCGGAGGAGGCGGCGGAGGCGGCGGTGGCGGCGGCGGTGGTGGAGCGGGTCGCGACTCTGCGCAGAGGAGTGGCTCAAGTGGTGGTCCGCGCCAGCAGTAGTGGAGTGGTGTGATGCTGTCCCCTCAGCAGCTTCGTGAGTGGTACACTGCGCGTCAGCGCGGTGGGGGTTTTGGTCCCTGCACTTACGTCCTGCGTACCGACGACCGAGCTGGTGAGCAGTGCAGAGGCCCGCACTCCACCCTCGTCTCCGAGGCATGGCCTCCCGTGTCCCTGTCTCTGGTCTCCCTCGGTCTCTCCCTTCCCTACCTCCGGGGCCTGGCCCTACCTGCGTCCCCTGCGTCGAGGGGCGACAGCCCGCCGCCCCTCACTCCTCCGAGTTTCCTCCGACAGAGGCTCCTCTGCAGACTCTCCACATGGACGTCAGTGGACAGGGGCGCGAGCGGTACTTCCTGCTGGTGGTTGACGACAATCGCGTTACACCACAATCTTCCCCTTGCGCAGCAAGGGTGAAGTCACTAAGGTGTTGATCGACTAGATCCGCACAGCTCGTCTCCAGCTCAGGAGAGTTTCGGCTCCGACTTTCCTGTTCTGCGTCTGCACTCGGACAGAGGCGGAGAGTTTTCCTCTGCCCGTATGGGAGCCTTCTGTCGTGCACAGGGCATCCGCCAGACCTTCACGCTTCCGGCCTCTCTACAGCAAAATGGGATTGCTGAGCGCCGCATTGGCATGGTCATGGACGTCGCTCGTACGTCCATGATGCATGCGGGTGCCCCCCATTTTCTGTGGCCGTTTGCGGTTCAGTACGCGGCGCATCAGCTCAAACTTCACCCTCGAGTCTCCTTGCCAGAGACCTCCCCCGCCTTGCGGTGGACCGGGAAGGTTGGCGATGCGTCTGCGTTTTGGGTTTGGGGATCTCGCGCGTTTGTCCGCGACTTGTCTGCAAACAAGCTGTCCCCCCGTGCTGTTCCCTGCGTCTTCCTTGGCTTCCCCGCTGACGCGCCTGAGTGGCAGTTTTACCACCCCACCTCGCGCCGTGTTCTGTCCTCCCATGACGTCACCTTTGACGAGTCGGTACCTTACTACTGTCTCTTCCCCTACCGTACTGCGCCTCTCCCCTTGCCGCCGCTCTTCCTTGCACCAGGTCCTCCCCAGGTAGACCCCCTCCCCCCTCAGGGTCCTTCCCCGTCAGGTGTGTCTCAGGTAGACGCTGTCGAGCCTGTCGAGGTAGCTATTGACTGTGGTGCTGCTAGAGGTGCTAAGACTGGGGGTGCTAAGTCTGGGGGTGCTAAGACTGGGGGTGCGGAGCCTGGGGGTGCGAAGGCTGGAGGTGCGGAGCCTGGGGGTGCTGGGTCTGCTCGTGTGGCCGCCGACGGTGCATCGTCAAGGCGGGAGCCGCTCTTTTCGTAGGAGCTGCGCGAGTGGTTTGCCCGCCGCTGGAGACGTGCTGCTGAGACTGGGGGTGCTGCTGGAGCTAGTGGAGTTGGTCCTGCTGGAGCTGCTGGCGGTACTGGTGCTGCTGGAGGTGGAGCTGCTGGGGGTGTTGGCGCTGGTGTTTCTACTGGTGCAGGTGCGTCTGGGGGTGCTGTTGAGGCTGCTCGTGCTGACGGTCCTACTCGAGTTGGTGCTACTGGAGCTGGAGCTGCTGGGGGTGTTGGCGCTGGCGGTGCTGCTGGGGCTAGTGTTCCTGAGGGTGCTGGAGTTGGCGCTGTTGGAGCTGTAGGTGCTGTTGGCGCTGGTGCTGCCGCTGGGGGTACTAGGGCCGTCCATGCTGGTACTGGAGGCGCTCAGCGGCCGAGGCCGTACTTCGTTGCGCTCCTTTTGCATGTTCTTGGTCTCCCGCCCTCTCCTGGTCCTGCTCCTTCCTTAGAGTGTCCACAGCCTATCCATTCGCAGTCATAGTTACAGCCCGCCTCCCCGCTACCTGCTCCTTCTCCTTACACTGGACCTACTGGAGGTCTTGCTGAGCGTCGTGAGCCTGCGTCTCGTCCTGCGTCGCCTGTTCGTGCTGCTCGCACTAGTCGTCGTGCTGCGCGTCCGCGTCCTCCTGCGGTCCCCGGCACACACCAGATGGCACTGCGTCCTTCCACTGCTCCTCTGCGTGTCCCGTTGCCGTCTCCTCCAGAGTCCTCTCTTCCTTCTCTTGCTGACCCGGAGTCCGACTCCCTTCGTGCTGCTAGTCCTTTGGTCACACGCTTTCTTGCTACTCTTGTCTTTGACCCTTCCTTTGAGTCCACTGCTGCGTCTACCGTAGCTGCTGAGCTTGTCGACTTCGCTGCTCGCTGTCGTCTAGACTAGGGTGTCAGTCTCGTTGCTGAGTCTGAGTCTTTCTGTCCTCCGTACGTCGGGGGTGAGTATGCTCTTAGCACGGACGTCCTTGAGGACAGGCAAGAGGAGTTCCAGTGCTTTGCTGCTGCTTTGCCCCATCTCGTGTCCACGCTGATTTCCCCTGAGGGAGACCCGGATGCACCAGACATCCCGACTCCTCGATCGTACGCTGAGGCGATCGAGGGTCCCTACTCCTCTTAGTGGCAGTCAGCCATGGACGTAGAGATGGCTTCCTGGAAGTCCACAGGCACCTACGTCGACGAGGTTCCCCCACCTGGGGCGAACATCGTCAGTGGCATGTGGATTTTCAGGGTGAAGCGGTCGCCGGATTCTCCGCCTGTCTTCAAGGCGCGCTACGTGGCTCGAGGCTTCAGACAGCGGCAAGGAGTTGACTACTTTCAGACCTTCTCTCCCACCCCGAAGATGACCACTCTTCGGGTGCTGCTGCACATAGCCGCTCAGCGCGACTAAGAGCTTCACTCTCTTGACTTCAGCACAGCTTTCTTGCAGGGCAGCCTGCACGAGGAGATCTGGCTGCGCAGCCCACCTGGCTTCACTGGGTCGTTTCCTCCTGGTACCCACTGGAGCCTCTGGCGGCCAGTCTACGGTCTCCGCCAGGCGCCCCGTGAGTGGCACGACACACTGAGGACTACACTTGCGGCTCTTGGGTTTGCTCCTTCTACAGCCGACCTGTCGCTGTTTCTGCGCACCGACACCTCTTTTCCGCCGTTCTACATCCTCGTGTACGTCGACGACTTGGTCTTTGCCACTGCTGAAACTGCTGGACTCGCCCACATGAAGTCCGAGCTGCAGAAGAGACACACGTGCACAGACCTGGGTGAAGTGCGCAACTTCCTTGGCTTGCAGATCACCCGGGACAGAGCACAGCGCACCATTACCCTGACTCAGTCACACATGGTGCAGCAGGTCCTTCAGCTCTTCGACTTCACGTACTCCTTGCCTCAGGCCACTCCTCTGTCTACTCGCCACTCGTTCTCAGCTTTGCCTTCGGATGAGTCTGTAGAGTCGAGTGGCCCGTACCCAGAGCTTGTTGGCTGCCTCATGTACCTGATGACCTGCACACGACCTGACCTTGCATACCCTCTTAGCATCTTGGCACGCTATGTGGCTCCTGGGAGACACAGACCAGAGCACATGGCTGCAGCGAAGAGGGTGTTGCGTTAGGTGTGCAGTACGTCGGGCATGGGGCTAGTGCTTGGAGGGCGACGTCGAGTGGTCCTCACAGGTCACGCTGACGCTTCTTGGGCTGACGACCAGGCTCTGCAGCGGTCGTCACAGGGTTACACCTTCAGCCTTGGCTCCAGCTCTGTTTCGTGGCGGTCTACCCGCTCGTCTTCTGTTCTCAGCTCTAGCTGTGAGGCTGAGATCTACGCAGGGGCCATGGTTGCACAAGAGCTACGCTGGCTCACCTACCTTCTGACTGACCTAGGAGAGCCGCCTCGTTCTCCTCCAGTTCTGTACGTAGACAACAAGGCCATGCTGGCCCTGTGTCGGGAGCACAGACTGGAGCACAGAACGAAGCACATTGCTCTCCGCTACTTTCTGGCTCGTGAGCTGCAGCAGCGTGGTCAGCTCCTCTCACCTACGTGGCCTCTGAGGCCAACACTGCTGATATCTTCACCAAGGCCCTTCCGCCTTGTGATCATCAGCGCTTCTATACTTTGCTAGGTCTTGTGCCTACCTGGCCTCACTTGCTCACTTCTTGATCTTGTTTGTACTGTACTCTTTCTATACTCGTACTTGCTTGTTTACCTTTATATATATGACCTTGCATGTGAACTGGCCTTGTGGCCTTACTCTTGTGCTCGGACTGTGTGGTGACTTTGTGATCCACCTTGAGCTTGCTTTGCTTTGCTTTGCTTTTCTTGACTGGTCTTGTGACCACTTGTTCTCCCCCACTTTGCCTATGGGGGTGTGTTAGAACATTATAGCTTATACATTTGTGTAGGCTGTGGTGGGGTAGCCCATAAGGGGTACAACCCAATTAGGGTTAGTACTTGTACCCAACTCTTTCATATTTCAATCTTTCTCTTGTTCTTATCTTCACATCATGCTACCTGCAGACCCCTGGAATTCGCGCCGAAGTTGATCCTAGCATCAGCGCCTCTGACACCCCTCGCGCTAGACATTCAACAACTGCCTCCGCGCCAAAGTATTTCTACCAGGGGCACTGCTGCACCCTGACGGAACGGAACCACTCTACACATCACAACCGACTGACTGCACAGTCTCCCCCACTGCGGCTCTCACGCACCAAGCATACCCCTCGCTAGAGCCAAGCACCAATCGCTACAAGAAACTGCAGAAGGTCTACATCGACTTCATTGTACTTACACTCGAGGGCATCAACAGCGAACAATACACGCTCACCTTCATCGACGCATACTCGCGCTACGTCTAGATCGCCAACGTCGATATCCGCTCCAAGGCTCCCAAGATCTTCCGCATCTGGCTCGCACACTCACAACGGGAATCTGGGAAGAAGTTAAAAATCTGGCAGACTGACGGCGCCAAGGAGTTTCGCAGCAAGGAGCTGGAAAGAGTTGTCGCAGAGAAGGGGATCAAGCATCAGATCTCCCTCTCCTACGCCCACTAGCAGCAAGGCGTTGCCGAACGTGTCAACCGCACACTCATGACAAAAGTGTGCGCCCTCATGAACCTGTCTGGTCTACCTCAGAAGTACTGGCTGTACGCCATGAACCAAGTCGTGCGCCTACACAGCCTGCTCTCCACCACGACCAGCCGGGGAAACC